TATGATATTTTGTCGAAACATTTATAACATTTTCTTTTGTTATTTTATTTTATTTTTGTGTGCCAAAAATACAGGGGGGGCGGTGAACTTGCGCCCCCTATTGACCAGCTAAGCCACATTCTGCACATGTTCCAACAGCATGGGTCTGTAATATTAGAGTGCAGGTATAAAGACTGGCCTGCCTGCAGTCTAGAGCTGATTCCCATAGAAAATGTGTGGCACATTATGAAAAATGCATGAGTTGCTGTGACTTAGATGTACAGAGACTGAAGTAAAGTTTGATCAGGTGGTAGCTGAGAGTTGTTCTCTACACTCTGAGCACTTTTTGTGAACTCTCACAATATCATAAGACTTTATTCTTTACACAATTTGACCCAACCAGCCTGAGAGCTGGCTGGCCACGTGCATTCCTGGGAGAATTATCTGGACTTAGTGAAACACTGGCAAAGCTTGTTGCTCCAGCAGAATGACACCAGCTCCATGTGAGCAGCATGTGTCTGAATGGAATGATAATGAAGCTGTCGTTACCGTGAGGCCAGTTGTTGGTAATTGTGAGAGGATGACAACAGGTTGGCCGACATTTAGTCTCATCTGCCTTGAGCGAGTTCAGCACCTGCCTGCTGGCCAGCAGCCCGATGTTTCTGTGACAGCCTCAGCAGGAAAGATTGATGCCTGAAGGCCTCTGATGGTGCGTGCACCTCACTGCCAGGCTGCTCGTCCATTCAGGACTCTCACTTCAAGCTCATTTAGGTCGCACCTGTCCTTGTGCGCTTTGGTTTCATGATGCTGTACCCTGTAGGCGCACTGCCTGCTAACTCGCACACACTTTTAAAATTAGCTGCTGCTGACAATAARTCACTGAAATTTGTAATTATCTTTGGAAAACGTCTGATGCAGGTTAAACAAAATCTGTTCAGGTGACGCCACAGAACAGCTGCTAAAAACATCAAAGAGAAAAAATCAGTAGTTCCTCTGGATGGTTCTTATTTAGTGAAACGTTTCGTCTCTCCTCCAAGAGACTTCTTCAGTCTGATGAGTTTCAGGTGAACTCAGCCTTGTAAGCTCCGCCTCCACCTGGACAAACAGGTTAGTCACATGCAAAAGAGGGCCATCGACTAACGATAGGCTTGATTAGCTCTATTGTTCATAGAGGGTCATGTGTCCCATCACCTGACCCGTGTTGTGTTATGTGTGTGTAGTGAATGCAAGCGGGGCTCAAAGTCCCCTCGTTTTTGTCTCTCTTTCCCTCTTTGTGTTGGTATCATTGGGACCCTTATTCACACCTTTTGCTCACAGGGGGCGGAGTCATACCTGCAATAACAGCATTGGAGGAGGAGGACAACTGGACACAGAGGCCTCCACCTCTGTTTAATGGTGGACGGTTTTTCTTCACAAAGATGGCTTCCTTTACTTCTCTCTCAAACCAA